GTTGATTTAAATATGGTTTGATCAGGAGAGACCTCCTGAATCTTGACAGGTGATCTCAGCAAAGGTTGATGCTGTTCTTCCCAGGACTTGGCCATTATCTCAATTTTCTCTCTGGGACCCTAGAAATACTTCACCCACATTCAATAGGAAGCAGTCTAGAGAACACAATGTCCACATTCCCAAGAAAAGGGGGGGTGTAGGTGGTCTTTGGTTATTTTGTGGGTTATGGATATTGGTTATATTTAGGGGAATATAAGAATATAGGCTAAAAAGACAACTATTAATCTCAGATATTTTGCATTGTCATGGATTTGGATATATATGGATATATAGATATATTCAAAGTCAATTTTGTTACACTCTATATGTGTTTTTACTCTTGTTTAAATAACTTTTTAATTTGTTTAAATACAAATTTAAGGTAATTTTTGTTACAACATATTGTATATATGTTTCTACTTTTTTAAGGTATTGTACCTATGCAGTTCATTTAAAAATACATGATAAAATTCTAGTTTTTGAAAACTATTATGAGCTATTTAGAATAATCAAGAAATACAGGCCAGTAGTTAGTCAAAAATAACAAATTTGTAGATATGTTAGACATGTTTTCTAGATCATATAGAAATAAATTTTAGATATAGTGTCTTCAAAACTTTCAAAGATCTACAAAATATGGCATTTAAAATGTTTTGTTAACTTAAGGTCTTTCATGACAATGAAACACTTCTGCTCCTGGCAACACCAATATACTTCAGAGAAGATGTGGGTACTGAAGAAACTCTTTGTGGAGTTTGCTTTCCTTGTGGTAAGGTTAGCCACTGGGCAAAGAAACTGCTCTTGCCTTTGACTGCTGACTATGTGCTGTGTAGACTGGACATGCAGAACCCACAGGAAAGTGACTTTTGCGAACATTGACAAAACAAGGTGGGATGGTCATTCAGGGTTCCTAATTCACAGGAGAAACTGCCAGACATTCTGCAGGACACAGAGGAAAGTGACTGATAAGCTGCCAATATAGGTGGAACAACCTTTCAAATTTCCTGCTTCATTGAAAAGTCTACCAGATACTATGTACCTGTTGGCTAAAGATGGATGCCCCCACATTGCAAAGGAACTCTGGGTGATTGTCCAGGCAGTCAGATGTCTCTGTCAAGCAAAGATATATTTTAGACAGGTCATCTAAACACTTCAGAGGTCTACAGAATATGATATTTAAGATGTTTTACTAACATAGACTTCTTTTTATAACAATGAGATGTCTGCTTCTGGCAGCACCAATCTACTTCAGAGAAGATAATGGGCACTGAAGAAATTTCTTTGTGGCAAAAGTAAGACACTGGGCAAGAAAATGCCCTTACCTTGACTGCTGACAGTGTGCTGTCCTACTTGGACAAGCAGGACACAAAAGAAAGTGACTGCCAAACATTGTCAAGACAAGGAGAGACAGCCATTCAGAATATCCTGCTTCACAGAAAAGTCTGTCGAATATGCTAGGTCTGTAGGACAAAGATAGATGCCCCAATGATGCAGAGGAACTTTGGGTGACTGTCGAGGCAACCAGCTGTTTCTGTCATTTCTCACATTTTTGGAAGTTACTTGCATGTACTTCCTGATTACTCAGTTAATATTTCCTTCTTGGGTCCTTGAGGTAGTTGAAGGCTAGATATAGTCTCCTTGTTTACAAGGCTCAGAAAAGAAATTTACTAAAGAAATATAAAGTATATAAGGTTGAGAGATATCAAACGATAGTTTTGAAAGGAAATGCAAGTTGTGGTAAAAAGTAAGTTAGGTACAAAAATTTGTACTCACGAAGATAGGATAGATGTGTATTTTCTCTGAATTTGTCAAATGCGAATGGGCTAGCCATTGATTATGTTATTTGTTGCCTGTATATATTATAGCTTTTCTTATTTATAGCCTTCTTTATTTTAGACAAAAAAGGGAAAATGTGGTGGTATATTATTTGTATTTTTGATAAATCTTGCCTGAAGACCAGAAGCAAAGTAAAAGCCCCTAGAAGTCAGGCAATGGTGACACACACCTTTAATTCCAGGATTTGGAAGACAGTCAGACAAATCTCTAAGTTCAAGGCCACCCCAGGCTACACAAGATTAATGCAGAAACAAATCCAGGTGGTGGTGACTCATACCTTTAATCCCAGCACTGGAGAGAATATAAAATGAGAGAGGAGAGAGGTTTAGTCTGCTTAGTCTACAGTTGCCCAGCTTTGGTAGAAGTAAGACTTCTCTAGTGATGTAGCTACTCTGCTTTTCTGGTTTTCAGGTTGAACCCCAATTTCTGTCTCTGGGTTTTTATTACTTGTGCTCCATAGCAAGCCACAGAGAAGGACGTAAAGTAAAACATACAGAATTAAGAAAGATAAAAGCCCAGAAGCAAAAAGTAATTGGGATAATTTAAGAAAAGTTTGCAACAAACAAGCCAAGCTAAGGCTGGATATTCATAACTAAGAATAAGTCTCCATGTGATTTATTTGGGAGATGAATGGTGGGGTCCTCAAAAAAGAAAACAGTAAAACATCACTCAACATGCCTCAATAGCAATCTAGATGATTCTGAACCTAGTCAGATTGACAAATAGGTTAACTAGGGAAGGAGAGTCCCTAGGGATCAGAGTCCCAGATCAACTCAGCTTCTCCTAGGAAGGGGCAGGATCAGGCTTCAGGACTTGGTCACTCCCACATGGCACCCTTAGGACTCCAAGCACTGTTCTGACCTGGAAACAATCTCAACTCCCAAACCCCAGACATGGGGCAGTGTCTGGAGACATCTTTAGTCCAGTGGGCAGGTGTCAGGAATGCTGCTGTTCACCCTATGTTCTCACTCAGGACATCTGAGACAATGCAGGATCTGACTCAAATGTCCTTTGTGCCCACTTCAGAATTCCTGCTCCAGGTAGAAAGGCCCGGAGAGGGCCCTGGCTTGCTCTTGAAGCTAACTTACATCTCCCTATATACAGAATTGTCTCCAACACCCCAAAGTTTCTGCCCAGTACAAGGGTAAACGACTCTGGATTTTAAACCCTGCCTTTCTCCTCCCTGTGCTCCTGTCTCCACTTGTGGGAGCTGCTGCCCTCCCATTTCTCTGTCCCCAGAAGCCCCAGGGTCACTTGTGAACTTGGCACCACAGTGCTGGTCTGACAGCCTGCTGCTTTTGTCTTGTCTGGGACTTTTCCTTCCCCAAGTTCATAACCATATTTCTCTATATTTTCTACAAATACTTTCTTTAAAAACAAGGTCTCAGCCAGCCAGTGGTAGCAGGCACCTTTAATCCCAGCAGTCAGGAGGCAGAGGCAGGCGGATCTCTGAATCTGAGGTCAGCCTCGTCTACAGATCAAGCTCTAGAACAGCTAGGGATACACAGAGAAACCCTGTCTTGAAACACACACACACACAAAGATAAGGTCTTACGTAGCCCATGCTGGCTTTGAACAGCTAGGGATACACAGAGAAACCCTGTCTTGAAACACACACACACACACACACACACACACACACACACACACACACAAAAGATAAGGTCTTACGTAGCCCAGGCTGGCTTTGAACAGCTAGGGATACACAGAGAAACCCTGTCTCAAAACACACATACACACACACACACACACACACACACACACACACACACAAAGATAAGGTCTTATGTAGCTCAGGCTGGCTTTGAACAGCTAGGGATACACAGAGAAACCCTGTCTCGAAACACACATACACACACACAAAGATAAGGTCTTATGTAGCCCAGGCTGGCTTTGAACAGCTAGGGATACACAGAGAAACCCTGTCTCAAAACACACACACACACACAAAGATAAGGTCTTGTGTAGCCCAGGCTGGCTTTGAACTCACTACATTGCCAAGGTTCACCTTAGATTTCTGATTCTCCGGCCTCCACATCTTGAGTGCTGAGATTCCAGCCTGTGCCCACATACCTGGTTTGTCACCCTGATTAGGCAGTACTGAGGATCATCATAGAGCATCGTGTATGTGAAGTAAGCATATTGCTAACTGAGCCCCAACCCTCAGCCCTATAAGGGCCTTTATAGATTCACACTGTAAAGTTAGAGCATCCATCTGCTGACATTTTCTTCTTGTGAAGTGTGTCAGAGGGAAGGCCCTACTTTTCTATAGTTCCACTGAAGGACATGTCCACGGTACCTGGCCTTTGTCCCCTCCCTGCCTCTCCCTTGACCATCTGGTGCCTTCCTGTGCATTTTCTCCCTCTGCCCTATAGTGTATCAGTGTGCCTCCTTCATAGACGCTGTCACTCACATCCCATCCAGGTTATGTCACACCTTCTTAGCTTATTCTCAGCGCAGCGTCACCCAGCTTCCACACAGTCTCCCTTTTAAACCTTCCCCAGGTACCCTTGCTGCTGGACTGGACCAGTGAGTGATCACTCCTCCTAGTGTGGAAATGTCTAGAAGAGATCACAAAATGTTCCTGTAATGTTTGGGGGCCAGCTTCCACTTTCTGCACAAGAACCTGGATAAGGGCAGACAGGCCCAGCACAGAATCTAAGTAAAAGTGGTAAAAATTTAATTAGTTAAAAACAAGTGGGGGGTGGGGGTGGGGGTGTGGTTAGGGTCAGCATCGCTTCTAGGAGCCAAGAACTGAACCTGTGGGAGAGGTACCCCAGATGCCCCCTGTACATAGCCCACCATGCTTTCAAGCTGCTGAGCCCAGAGTCCTCTGCCTAGCACCAGGACAACTTCTAACCGGTGTTGGCAGCTCAGAGATCTGCAGGGCATAGAGTCTCCATCTGTACCTGCTCTAGAGGCATCTCCAGATCAGAGCCACCTGAGGGGCATGCTGTCCTGGGAGCCCAGGAAAGGGATTCAGAGGAGGAGAGGTCTTTAGAAGGGCCATCAGTGAAGTCAGCATCAGAGGCCCAAAGGGAGCAAGAAAGCTGCAGCTGTACGCAGCCAGGGAGAAGGCTCAGGACACAGGCAGGCCGGGCTTGCAGAAGCAGTTCCTCTGAAGTTCAGCTCTTATCAGGGTTGGAGGGATAGATAAGCAGGGGAGCCTCAGACTCGGCACCTAGGGAACAAGCAGAGGAGTAGATGCATAAAACCTTCACAGAGAGTACAAGGGGCAGGAGTCCGGAGGGCTACCAAGACCTAGAGAAGACCCAGGAGGTCTAGTGAATCCCTGCAGAACTGGGTGCTGGACCCAAAGACTGTGCCCCAGCCAGTCCAGCTCCAGCTCTGCCCATGAGCTGCTACCAAGCTGAAGGAGATGCCCACTGTAGGTCTTCCTGGGCCTACACCACAGAGCACTCTGGTGTGAATCAACTTGAGAGGTTCTAGTCTGATCACTGCTATCCCGGTGCTCTGTGGTCTGAGAACCTGCATTCCCACACCCCAAGCCTGTGTGCTTAGCTGTGAAGTGGAACCCCGATCATGCGGCATTGTTTCCATGCTGGGAGGTGACTCCGATCCAGTGAGGTCCTGTGCTTACTGTCAGCTCACAGTGCTTATGTCCAAAGGAGAAGGGTGACAGGTAGCCACACAAGGAACACTCAGGAAGAGTGACCAGCACTATCTTCCTATATAGAGGGAAAGCCTGCTGCTGTCAGTCTTACCGACATAGCCGTCCAGCTTTAGGACCAGTTGCTCTAGGGAGCCAGACTGCAAGAGAGGGAACTGCCATCAGGATCGATCCTAGGTGACACACATCTAGCCAGCTCTAAGATCCTTTTCAGACTTAAGGTAGCAGAAAGGGGCAAGGGGATCTGGTCTGTGAATTCTGTAGCCAGAGGGAAGTATTACTTCCACACATGCTCCACTGGGCAGAGGTCCCCAGTGTGTGCTTGGAGGCATTCTCTCCCTCCCTCTGTCCTACCCTCCATAGGATTAATAACTTCCTCCTGAGTAGGGAGGCAAATAACAAAAACATCTTCAAGGACTCCCTGAAACTGACCAGGGGAAGTGGAGCCAAGCAGCAAAGACACTCGGACAAGAGAAGCCACTCAGGAAAGTAGAAACCAGCCAAGCTGTCTGGAAGTTTTAAACCGCCTAAGGCACCTGGAATGAATGCTCTCCAACCTATTGAGCTGCCTGCAGGCTGTGTAGTGTGCTCCGGGGTCCCAGCTTTTGTGAGCGACCGGTCTGTCACCCATGCTGGAGTGGACCTTGGTGATGCAGCTGCCTTTGAGTCATTTCTGCCCCTGTGTTCCCTCACCTATATTCCTGTAAGGAACCCCAGTAAGACTCATTGATTCACCAAGATGAACTTTTTGGTTCATTGAGGGTTCCCTATCTAGGGTGAATAGACTAGTCCCAGGAAAAGGTTTGTCACACAACAACCCCCCCCCCCCAAATCCTCCACTAAAAATGAACCCTGTTAGAGCCCTTGAAGGAAGATTTGAATGAGAGGTTAGAATTTCCCTGGGGAGAGCTGTCCCAACCCCCACCCCCGCCCCATCAGCTGCAGCACTCAGGAGAGTGGCCCCTATACCACACCTGGGCAACAGAGCAGAGCTGGCCATGAAGGTGTAGGTGTGAGAGAGCTGACCCTGAGGACCCAAAAGCAGGAGAGCTGGCCCGCCCTTTCCTCATCCCTGCAAGCGGTGAACTCACCAGGACAATGCAGGAGCGCTCCCCCTAGTGGTGAGGACAAAGGAAAACTGGCAAGCTGACGAAGCCTGCAACTACCCAGGCTCGGAACAAGGGGTCTGTTTTGGCTCACCCCAACATCCACCCTATCTGTGATCTGCTGGAGCACATAAAGGGTCCTGCAGACCCAAAGCTGCAGGATTTCCACAACACATGGTTTAATAGCAGGATAACTCAGTGAGGGCTCAACATGGATGGTGTAGCAGAAACCAGACCAATGACTCTGCAGTGAACACTCACAAGGAAAGATATGTGGACGAAAGATATGTGTGTCACACTGCAGCTTCCAGGAGGAGATTGATTCCCCCCCGCCTTTCTCTTTTTTCTCTTAAATTTTATTTTGAGGGGAAGGTTACAAGGGCTGAGGATGGATACAAAGGAATGGGGAATGAATGGGATGAAGATACATGATGTAAAAGACAAAGAATAAATGAAGGAGAGAAAAATAAAGAAACCTCCCTGGGGGTGAGACAGGATGACCCCCCCCCCACACACACACACACCGACCACAGCTTTTGCCATGAGGTATAAAACACTTACCTGGATGTGCTGCTCTAATTTCCAGAGATTGTTATCTGATCCCCGGTAAAACATCAAAAATTCTTTCTGCCACATCGTAGGAAGACTGAAAAAACTCAAGGGGATGGGGGGAAAACCCATGATGGGGTTCATCTGACATAAGACGATGGTCATAGAGGTGCCAAACTGAAGGGATAGAGAGGAGAGGGACATTAGGGGCAGATTCCGTCACCCATGCCTGGGTTCTGGCCGAGCATTTTGTGTGCAAATGGCAAGATCAGAGGTATATTGTTCCAACAACCCTAACCACAGCCTTGTCCCCAACACTCAGGTCTTCCCTAGGATGTCTGGTGCTCTTCTGCCCTCATCCCAACTGTGTCCCCAACACGGTAGCCACAGTCTCCAGCCACATAGCGTCTTTCACTGGTACTGGATTTGGGGCTCCAGCTCAGCCATTTCCAGAGTTTTAGAAATTCTCCTTTGAAGTGGGGAGGACCTTGGACTTCCCACAGGGCAGGGAATCCGGACTGCTCTTCAGACTCGAGAGGGAGGGGGAATGGAGTGGGAGGAGGGGGAGAGGAGTGTGGAGAGGGGAAGAGGAGTTGGGGGGAGGGGGAGGGAAATGGGAGGCGGGGAGTAGGCAGAAATTTTTTCAACAAAAAAAATAAATAAATAAAAACATTATGCATTATATACCAGTACTGAACTATTGCCAAGCAAACTATATTAAAAATGTAACAATTATGTTCCAATAAAAAAAAGAATTAAAAAAATCTCCTTTGAAAAAATAAGACATATTGGGAGAGAGTCCAAAAATAAGAATATAGAAATGTAGATTCCAGAAATAAGAATGTAGAAATAAAGAAATAGAAAGTTGTAAGCCTAGGAAAAGGAGAACAGAGCGTCAGCAGCTTTCTCAGCAGCTTCAGGATTAACAATAATAACAGTGGGTTACTTTGCTTTACAACCCATAGCTCTGTCTGTAAGGCCGAAGTGACCCTCTGCAAACTAAGAGTCAGCTTTTAGATAACCCCCGATCCCTCATGACCAGCAACTGATGTGAGCCGAGTTAGCTTTTAAATGATGGGATGTACCTGACTTGTTGGCTGTGCAGTTTCCCATACCCTTCCCTGCTATGCAAAACTGGCAGTAGCAGGGGTTGTGTAGAGCTTTGGCAAACACCATCAGAACGTATCAAAAGACGACAACGGGCTAAATATAAACACTAATTTAAAAAAAAATTGTTAATGAAAATTGTAAAAAAGGCAATTTGTATCACAGTTTTACCTTGAGATTGTAAAAAAGCCTTTTGTTCATGCCCAATGCTTGCTTCTTGCCATTAAAAGGGGCGTTCTAACACAGTCCAGGGACACCGCCTTACAAGTCCATTTCTGGCTGTGGGCTCAGCTAGCTGATAAGCTTTCTGTGCCCCATGGAGATTTATTTTTTTAATTTTTTTTCCTGGAATAACGTTTGCTTCTGGTGTAATAGACTTTGGTGGCCTGTCCCCTATCTTTGCACAACACCCCACCACCACCACCCCTCCCCAACACTGGGGAGCTGACTCCATAGGTTAAGTATGAATTGCCGACATCCATGTTAAAAGCCACGGTCATACATGTGCCGCTAGTGCTGTGGAAAACTGAGACAGGGGGATCACTGGGGTTTCCTGGCTGCCAGTCTAGCTCCAGATTTGGGGAAAGATGCTGACCCAGGGGAATAAGGTGGAGCCTGGTTCACCTGGACATTCAACTCCCCCCCCCCCCGCCCGGCCTGGGGCAATGACTTTACCAAAAGAAATGCAATGTAGTCTTGATGGTGAACTTCATGTGCCTTTAATAAATGCAAAACATAAACCTGAGTCAACATAGAAAGCTACAAAGTGAAAAAAAAAAATCACTCTAGCCAGACATGGTGGTGGCACACACCTTTAATCCCAGCACTCAGGAGACAGAGGCAAGCGGATCTCTGAGTTGGAGGCCAGCCTGGAACACATAGTGAGTACCAAGACAGCCAGGACTGTCACACAGAGAAACCCTGTCTCGAAAAAACAAACAAACACAAAAAGAAAGAAGTTGCTATAAACCATAACCAAATGGCAGACATGGCCACCGAGCAGAAAGCTTGCCAGATTCCCTACCAGTGTCCTCCTGTCTCCCTGAGAAATGCCCGCATTCTTCTTCACTTGTCATGGGGTGGCAGATCACTTCCTTCCTTGTCACCCTGACAAGGTCTCACAAAACCCTCTGTCTGTATTCTGACTTTAGGGTGAGAGGGAAGGGAGCTAGCTACCAAGGGCCTATGCTGACTTGTCTGCTTCTGTAGTAAATAAAGTTTTATTTGAAACTACCATTGTCTCTGGATGCTTCGCACTAAGGTGGCACAGGGAGTGTGCCCAAGTCCTCAGAGCCTGCAAAATGAAACACCTCCCTCTGAGGCCTCTGAAAGGTCTGCTGATCCTTGCTGAGATCACGAGAGAAGATCCTGTCCCAACCTGCAACTGTATGTGGGAACTCACACACACACACACACTCACACACACACACTCACACACACATACACACACTCACACACATACACACACTCACACACACTCACACACATTCACACACACACACTCACACACACACACTCACATACACACACACTCACATACACACACACTCACACACACTCACACACACATACACACTCACACACACACACTCACACACACACTCACACACCACACTCACACACCACACTCACACACACACACACTCACACACACACTCACAAACACACACACTCACAAACACACACACTCACAAACACACACACTCACAAACACACACACTCACAAACACACACACTCACAAACACATTCACACACACACACTCACATACACACACACACACTCACACACACTCACACACACATTCACACACACACACTCACATACACACACTCACACACACTCACACACACTCACACACACTCACACACACACACTCACAAACACACACACTCACACACACACATACACACTCACGCACTCACTCTCACACTCACATGAGAGTGGAATATCTATGAGGTGTGTGTGTGGTGTGTATATGTGCCAGCCTAAGGCCAAAGGAGGCCTCAGGTGTCTGCTCCCTCCCTTATGCCTCTGAAGGAGGGTCTCTGACCACGTCCCCGCAGCCAACAAGGCCCCATGTGGCTTTTTATGTGGCTGCTTGGATCCTAACTCGGGCTCATAGGTTTTGGGTTTTGTTTTTTTTTTTTAAGATTTATTTCTTTGCTTATTTATTGGTGTACTTATTTTAGACAGGATCTCTGTGTAGATAGTTTGGAACTGGCTACCTGGGCCAATCTGGCCTTGAACTTAGAAATGTGTCTGCTTCTGCACTGTGTGTGTGTGTGTGTGTGTGTGTGTGTGTGTGGTGTAATGTAACAATGCAGCCTATATCTTCATACCCTAACAGAGAGAGGGAGGGAGGAAGGGAGGGAGGGAGGAGGGAGAGAGAAAGAACTAGGAGGGAATAAAGGAAGAAAAAAAGGAGACAGAGAAGTACAATGCTGGGCCTGGTGTTGCAACCAAACCATTTAGGAGGCCGAGGCAGGAGGCTCACGAGTTCCCATCCCACCTGAACTACAAAGTGAGTTCAAGCGCCACTCTAGGGGACCCTTCCTGTGGATGTGCCACTTAGCAACAGCTTTCCCTGGGGGTCTCAGCGTCATTTTTTCACTGCAGCCCTCAGATTCCCCTCCCTTTTAAACTCAGCTATTCAAGGAGCTCTTGTGGTTGCTGCACCTGCCCATCTAGACACACTGGGAACCAATAGCTACAGTAACCCAAGTCCACTGGGTTCATTGGATTCAACTGACTACATTTACATTGTAACAGAATTCTTTCCTGGGTCTTTTTTTTTTTTTAACTGTTACCATACTTTACTTGGTATAGGTTTAAAGAAAAATATTTATTATTTGAAGTTTTTTTTAAATATTTATTTATTTATTATGTATACAATATTCTTTCTGCGTTATGCCTGAAGCACTAGACCTCACTACAGATGGTTGTGAACCACTATGTGGTTGCTGGGAATTGAACTCAGGACCTTTGGAAGAACAGGCAATGCTCTTAACCGCTGAGCCATCTCTGGTGCTACAGGTGAATTACCCCTTTGTAAGGTTTCAAACCTGGGACAAACTGAGGTCTATTAACATATCAAAGTCGGCACCAGATGAAGGGAAAAAGGGGAATGAAGAAGGGCAGCCAACTACTCCTAGGTGTGGAGAAGGTGGTTTATTGTTGAAAACAAGGAGAGCAAAGCCAGAGGCAGGGACATCTGGGAGAGTCCAGAGTGAACTTGACTGGGAGCCTGGCCACTTGAGGAGAGGACAGAGAGGAGGGGACTGGGGAGAGGAAATGCCTCCCAAGTTACATGGCCTGGGCCAAGAGACTGGCATAGCCAAAATGGCTGAGTTATATAGGGGCAGGAGAAGGCGCAGGTCCTGGGCTGAAGAGTTCAGTGTTGAGGTGGTGGGGAGGGTAAATCGACCAAACCCCGCAACAGCAGAGACTGAGAGAGGCTGGGAGAACCTAGAGGCCAGCGACCACTTTGACATGTTAATGGGCACCTCAGCCATTTGTCCCAGCTGTAAGACATAACACCCCTTATCCTGGTACCCAGGAGAGTACCCATAGTCTCTGCCACACCGAGACAAGGGCTTTGCCCTCAAGCCACATCCCTGGTCTTTGGGGATCGGTGCTGATACCTAGAGATGCTTTTGCAGAACCACAGAGTATTTTAGCCTCTCAGGTTCAGTCTTCAGAGTGATTCTTTAAGGCACCAGAGTTGCCAGCTTCCCTGGGCATTCAAGCTTGGGAGCACAGCAGCAGATGTGTGGCATTTGCAGAGCAATCAGAAACCAGCGATTCACATTCACATCTGCTCCTTCCAAGTTGTTGGACTTCTACTGGACCTGCCCTTTCTCTGACCTGGAGAACTCCTACTCATCCCACAGATGAGACAGAGGTTTGCAAGAAGGTCGCAACACACAGGTTGGGAACTGGTATCCTAGGGGTTAACAGGGCAAGGCACACCTGGGCTGAACTTGTAGAAAACCAACCCACACTCCTCAGATGCTTGAGATCCAGATCATGTAAAAAGTAACTAAGTCTGGCTAGGAAGCCGGGGCTTCTGGCTCATCTCACCCATGGCCCATCTCCTTAACTATCCTATCTGTAAGCTTTCTCAAAATGCTCCCACTAACTAGGGCCTTTACTGGTAAGTCAGGCCTCAGCACAAGGGCCCCCCCTTCGTCTGTGGATAAGCTTGCATCAGTGAGGCCTCCAAGCAAGGGCTCCTGGGCCTGGTGCACTGGTGAAGACCTGGTTCTGTTCGGAGACTAGTATCAGCTCTTTTCTGATGATAATAACATCGCCCCAACACAAACACTAGCTACCCACAAGATCAGGGTACAGAGCCCCAAAACTCACCCTGAGTAGAGTTGGTTGTAGTGGAAACAGGCCAGGAGTGAAGAACAGACTTGAGACCATCCAGAATCTCTGGTTCTCATCCACATAGAGACCAGGTCTTTGCCGGTTCAGAAACTGTGGGGGCGGGTTCCGAAACTGTGGGGGCAGGCTACTTACAGGAGAAGGAGCAGCCATCTTGAGGAGCCCAGCAAGCTGACTGCTTCCTTAAAACGCAGTCCTGCAAGCGCAGGGTGGAAGTCACCACAGGTTGCAGCTGGGGTGGGAAGAGTAAGGCATGAGAAACGCAGTTCTTCTGCAGCTGGGCCAGGAGCTCTACTCTCTGGAAACAACTGCCAGGCTTCAATAGGTGCCCTGTGTCCTCAAGCTAGGCCTCTTCAGGACTCTCTCCATGTCCCCTGCCCAGACTCCAAGGAATTATTTGGATCACCATCTCCCCAGCAGGTTTCCATCAGGAACCTAGCTGAGCCCCCTGGATCTAGACCAGTGGCTCTCCTCCACCTTCCTAATGCTGTGACTCTTTGATATAGTTCCTCGTGTTGTGGTAAATCACCCCCCCCAGTCATAAAATTCTTTTTGTTGCTAATTCATAACTGCAATTTTGCTAGTGTTGTGAACTGTCAATACTTTGGGAGACAGAGGTTTGCAAGAGGGTCGCAACACACAGGCTGGGAACCGGTATCCTAGGGGTTAACAGGGCAAGCCACACCTGGGCTGAACTTGTAGAAAACCAACCCACACTCCTCAGATGCTTGGGATCCAGATCATGTAAAAAGTAACTAAGTCTGGCTAGGAAGCCGGGGCTTCTGGCTCATCTCACCCATGGCCCATCTCCTTAGTCCAGCTCCTCAGCTTCTCTGAGGCCATAGCAGGCTATGAAAGCAGTCTCGGGATGGCAGCACCCTGTGCTTTTTGAAGACCACAAGCCAGATTCTTTTCATCACCCACCCCGGAACATGCAGAACACCTGTGACATACATGTCAGCCATTTCCCTCTCTCCTTCCCGCGCCCCCCGTCCCTCTTACCTTCCCGTCCTTTCTCTTTCTCTCAGAACTGTCTCATGTAGATCCAGTAGTCCTCAAACCCACTTTGTAGCTGAGGATGACCCTGAGTTCCTGATCCTCCTGCCTCAGCTTCTCTGATGTTGGGTGACATCAGCACGCTCAGTACTATGTGGGGCTAGGGCTTACGCTAGGCCAGTGTTCTGCCAACTGATCTCCCCCTAGCCCCACATCAGGCATTTCCTGGCTAGTTTTATGTCAATTCGATACAGGCTAGCTAGAGTCACCTGAAAGGAGAGAGCCTCCGTTAAGAAAAAGATTCTCTAAGATGGTGCTGTCGGGCATTTTCTTTTTTTTTTTCTTTCTTTATTTATTTATTAAAGGTTTCTGCCTCCTCCCCACCACCACCTCCCATTTCCCTCCCCCTCCCCCGATCAAGTCCCCCTCCCTCATCAGCTCAAAGAGCAATCAGGGTTCCCTGACCTGTGGGAAGTCCAAGGACCACCCACCTCCATCCAGGTCTAGTAAGGTGAGCATCCAAACTGCCTAGGCTCCCCCAAAGCCAGTACGTGCAGTAGGATCAAAAACCCATTGCATTGTTCTTGAGTTCTCAGTAGTCCTCATTGTCCGCTATGTTCAGCAAGTCCGGTTTTATCCCATGCTTTTTCAGACCCAGGCCAGCTGGCCTTAGTGGGTTCCCGATAGAACATCCCCATTGTCTCAGTGTGTGGGTGCACCCCTCGCGGTCCTGAGTTCCTTGCTCGTGCTCTCTCTCCTTCTCCTCCTGATTTGGACCTTGAGATTTCAGTCCTGTGCTCCAATGTGGGTCTCTGTCTCCTTTCATCGCCTGATGAAGGTTAATATTCAGGAGGATGCCTATATGTTTGTCTTTGGATTCACCTTCTTATTTAGCTTCTCTAGGATCATGAATTATAAGCTCAGTGTCCTTTATTTATGGCTAGAAACCAAATATGAGTGAGTACATCCCATGTTCCTCTTTTTGGGTCTGGCTTACCTCACTCAGGATAGTGTTTTCTATTTCCATCCATTTGTATGCAAAATTCAAGAAGTCCTTGTTTTTTACTGCTGAGTAATACTCTAATACATATATATTCCATACTTTCTTCATCCTTTCTTCCATTGAAGGGCATCTAGGTTGTTTCCAGGTTCTGGCTATTACAAACAATGCTGCTATGAACATAGTTGAGCATATACTTTTGTTGTATGATAGGGCCTCTCTTGGGTATATTCCCAAGAGTGGTATTGCTGGGTCCAGGGGTAGGTTGATCCCGAATTTCCTGAGAAACCGCCACACTGCTTTCCAGAGTGGTTGCACAAGTTTGCATTCCCACCAGCAATGGATGAGTGTACCCCTTTCTCCACAACCTCTCCAGCAAAGGCTATCATTGGTGTTTTTTATTTTAGCCATTCTGACAGGTGAAACAAAAAATTGGTTCTTGGAGAAAATCAACAAGATCTACAAACCCCTATCCAAACTAATTAAACGACAGAGAGAGAACACACAAATAAATAAGATCAGAAATGAAAAGGGGGACATAACCACAGACACAGAGGAAATTCAAAGAATCATTAGATCTTACTACAAAAGCCTGTATGCCACAAATCTGGAAAATACAAAAGAAATGGACATTTTTTTAAATAACTACCATATACCAAAGCTAAACCAAGACCAGGTGAATGATCTAAATAGACCTGTTAGTCGTGAAAAATTAGAAATGGTTATTAAAAATCTCCCTTTGAAAAAAAGCCCAGAACCAGATGGTTTCAATGCAGAATTCTACCAGAACTTCCAAGAAGAGCTAATACCTATACTCCTTAATGTATTTCACAATATAGAAACAGAAGAGTCATTGCCAAATTCCTTTTATGAAGCTACAGTTACCCTGATACCAAAACCACACAAAGACCCAACCAAGAAAGAGAATTACAGGCCTATCTCACTCATGAATATCGACGCAAAAAAATTCTCAATAAAATACTGGCAAACCGAATCCAAGAACACATTAGAAAAATTATCCATCATGATCAAGTAGGCTTCATCCCAGAGATGCAGGGCTGGTTCAATATACGCAAATCTATCAATGTAATCCACCATATAAATCAACTGAAAGAAAAAAACCATATGATCATTTCATTAGATGCTGAAAAAGCATTTGACAAAATTCAACACCCCTTTATGATAAAGGTCTTGGAGAGATTAGGGATACAAGGGTCATACCTAAATATAATAAAAGCTATTTACAGCAAGTCGACAGCTAACATTAAATTAAACAGAGAAAAACTCAAAGCCATCCCACTAAAATCAGGAACACGACAAGGATGTCCACTCTCTCCATACCTCTTCAATATAGTGCTTGAAGTTCTAGCAATAGCAATAAGACAACATAAGGGGATCAAGGGGATTCGTATTGGAAAGGAAGAAGTTAATCTTTCGTTATTTGCAGATGATATGATAGTATACATACGCGACCCCAAAAACTCTACCAAAGAACTCCTACAGCTGATAAACACCTTTAGTAATGTGGCAGGATACAAGATCAACTCCAAAAAATCAGTTGCCTTCCTATACACTAAGGATAAGGAAGCAGAGAGGGAAATCAGAGAAGCATAACCTTTCATGATAGCCACAAATAGCATAAAATATCTTGGGGTAACTCTGACCAAGGAAGTGAAAGATCTATTTGACAAGAACTTTAAGTCTTTGAAGAAAGAAATTGAAGAGGACACCAGAAAATGGAAGGACCTCCCTTGCTCTTGGATTGGGAGGATCAACATAGTAAAAATGGCAATTCTACCAAAAGCAATCTATAGATTCAATGCAATCCCCATCAAAATCCCATCAAAATTCTTCACAGATCTGGAGAAGACAATAATCAAATTTATATGGAAAAACAAAAAACCCAGGATAGCCAAAACAATCTTATACAATAAAGGATTGTCTGGAGGCATTACCATCCCTGACTTCAAACTCTATTACAGAGCTACAGTATTGAAAACAGCTTGGTATTGGCATAAAAACAGAGAAGTCGACCAATGGAATCGAATAGAAGACCCTGACTTTAACCCACAAACCTATGAACACCTGATTTTCAATAAAGGAGCTAAAAGTATACAATGGAAAAAAGAGAGCATCTTCAACAAATTGTGCTGGCAAAACTGGATGTCAATCTGTAGAAGAATGAAAATAGATCCATATCTATCACCATGCACAAAACTCAAGTCCAAATGGATTAAAGACCTCAATATCAGTCCGAACACACTGAACCTGATAGAAGAGAAAGTGGGAAGTACTCTACAACACATGGGCACAGGAGACCACTTCCTACGTATAACCCCCAGCAGCACAGACATTAAGGGCCTCATTGAATAAATGGGACCTCCTGAGACTGAGAAGCTTCTGTAAAGCAAAGAACACTGTCACTAAGACAAAAAGGCAACCCACTTACTGGGAGAAGATCTTCACCAACTCCGCAACTGACAAAGGTCTGATCTCCAAAATATATAAAGAACTCAAGAAACTAGACCATAAAAGGCTAATCAACCCAATTATAAAATGGGGCACTGAGCTGAACAGAGAATTCTTAACAGAAGAAGTTCAAATGGCCAAAAGACTCTTAAGGTCATGCTCAACTTCCTTAGCGATCAGGGAAATGCAAATCAAGACAACTTTATGATACCATCTTACACCTGTCAGAAGGTCATTTTCTTAATTAGTAACTGATGGAGAGGGCTCAGGCTATTGTACGTGGAACCAGTTCCCCTCCATGGCCTCTGCACCAGCTCCTGCCTCCAGGTTCTGGCCCTGTTTGAGTTCCTGTCCTGACTTTCTTCAGTGACAGACAGTGACGTAGAAGTGTAAGCAAAATGAACCCTCTTCCAACTGGCTTTTGGTCATGGTGTTTCATCGCGGCAGTAGTAACCCTAACACACTCTGCACTGCATCTTTAGATGAGAGATGAAGACCCCGTTTCACAGATGAAGAAACCGAAGCATGAATGGTGTGGCATGACTGAGGTGGGGGGCAGTGGGAAACCGTCACTTACCTGTGCTTGGCTCTGGCACTTTGCTGCCAATCTTAACTGAGTCCCGAGAGTTGCTGGGGGCCTGAGAGGAAGGATGTGCACAGAAATCGGGTCTTTTGTCCTCTAACTAGT